GTTGCCATTTCCTTCTCCAGGGGATCTTCTCCACCCATGGATCAAACCCGAATTTCTTTTTTTTTTTAAACCCGAGTTTCTTATGCCTACCTGCACTGGGAGGTGGGTTCTTTACCACTTTGCCACCTGGGAACCTTGTCTCCTATGTGCTATTAAATAGAAAATTTGAAAAACTATCTGGAAATGAGGCATCAGGAAGTAAACTTTGGTTCCATCTCATCACTTCCTATTTCCTCACACTTTCTGGTGTCCTTTTTCAAATTCTAGTTTGACCATTAGTAACTTCTTATTGAACCCCCAAGGAAGGATTAGTACAGGAGAGCAGAGAATAGGCACAGGTCAGCTAAACAGAAGTCATCAAACAAATGTCCAGTTCCAGAGTCATCAACTGACCACAGGACCTGGGCTGAGTCCCTTACCTGTGTTGGCCTCAGTCCTAACACAGAAGTACACTCACCTTAGAAACAGAGGTTTTTCAGTCAGAAGACCAGGATTTGATGCTGTGAACTATTATGTGCTGATTGATTTACCTTGATAAATTAGTAATTTATTTAATGTGTGTGCTTGGTATCTTTGATTACTGTTGTGCTTTTTCAGTATTATGAATATTTTCACTTTTCTTACTACTCAGCCAAAATATGAATGGTGGAGGTGATGATTTGCCTGAAGTTAGGGATGAACCCAACTGAAGGTGGAGAATATAGGAAGTGAAGACAGAATGGAGGTGAGGGATGCAGACAAGCATTGAGCTCTCCCTGGGTGCCTGGCCCTGTGCCATCCTCTAATGACCCAGGGAAGATTCTTCCCCAATAGCATTCCTGGTTCTCAGCTGCAGAAAGTGGTGACTTGCAGGCTACCAGGGAGGTGCCTAGCTGAAGCACTCTGCCCTGATCAGCCCCTGCTCCACTGAAGGCCACCATAGCTACCCTTCCATTGCTATCTCCCTGTTCTTTCCTTCTGGGTATCTGAAAAGGTCCCCCTATGGAAGCTTCCAGACTTGATTCTTAAAGGGCTTCCACATGCAAATGATACTCTATTATCCCCAGTCCTCAAAAGTTGTCCTGCACACTAGGGAAGGGGGACTCGGAGGTAAAGAAGCAAATGTCTTTCTCTCAGAGGTATGTCATCTCCACATATTTACCTGACATATTGTGCTTTTATAAGTAATGATCTTATACATTTCCTATATACAGAATAATGATACACACACACACACACACACACACACACACACGGAGATATGCTGGCAATTCATTTTTAATTCTAATTCATCTCTTCATGAAACTGAATACTGAATTCTTTTCTTAGGTAATGAATGCATGTGCACATGTATGTGCAGTACTATATTCATCAATAGGGGCTTTTGAGGAAGTACCCCTTGAGCCTGTTATATCACAGGAGAGCAAAGTGACCATTTCTCTAGCCCATAGTCTAAAAGGGAGGCTGCTCCATTGTCCTCCAGAGAAGGCAAGGGGCAGAACCTCACCCCAAGTTCCCACTTATCTGGAAAGGTGACAGAAGCTATTAGAGGAGGAGCTGTGTCATCTGTGAAATGGGACTCATTTCTAACACAGAGCTATCCTGAGGGGTGAATGAGAAAGTCTGGGGTTAAGGCAGGCACTATGTAAAGTCATTTCTCACAGTTCTCTTTAATGATACGGTAGATGTCATTAGAAAGGAAGCAAATGACTCTCTGATATGGCTGGAGCTCAAACTTCTAAAGAGAGAAGAATCTCCAGTCTCTTAGGAGACTAAGAAGCTCCTAAGAGCCGCCCAACATCATGCCCCTGAGCAGACCGTAATCCAGTCCCCACACTAGGAAGACAGGCTTGCCTTTGTGATTTCAGTGAGAGATGGCAACAGAGCAGCAAGCTGTGGTGTTGCCTAACTGCTGCTCCTGGACTGTTCCTTATATTAATACATTGATAGGAAAATTCTGGACCTGTCTCCCATTCAACACTGCAGGGAGTATCAGATCATGCAACATCCAGCCATGTCACACCAGAATTTCCAATATCTGCTGTCTCCATGTGGGACAAAAAACTAAAAAGTACTACCATTTTACTGAAATACAATGCTCCATTCTTTCCTTCGCTAATAACTCAATATTTATTGGGCTCACAACTTATACTATTCCATTTGAGATGTCTCTTTAACTCAGCAGTAGAAATAAGAGGTTATGAAGGAAAATAAGTGTACGGTCAAATGTAAAGGTAAAAAATGAGATGGGATGGCTTCTTCACATTAACTTTTAATCTTGCTCAAGTTTCAGATCCCCAGTTAGCCACAAGCCTCTCTTTGTCTTCGTATCATCTGTGGTTTCCTTTTCTCTCTTTCATAATGAGATCTCATTTTCTGTAGATAAATATACAAATATATATATATACACATATATATATACATGCACAAATATGTATATACCTACATAAGCAAACTTTCAGGAAGATATAATGACAATAAAAACAAAAGAGTTATCTTAAGGTGTTATGTTGTGGAGCAATTATTTTTCTCTTCCACATATACTGTATATTATACACTGAAATGAACCTCATGCAGAGTGTATCATGATAAAAACACCTGAAAACCCAACTGTCCATTAACATAGGGAGAAGTTCCATTAAACTCATAAAAATGATTCAAGTCTGCTCAAAACAACTAGTAGCTTCCTATGTACTAAAAATGAAATGTTCAGGATAAAAATAACTGAAATAAACAAGGAAAACAATTTACCTTCAGGTTCCCATTAATAACTCCTCCACTCTTCCCAGCTCCCTCCTATCTCCATGCAAACCCAGCACTCACTTCTGAGACCACTGGAGGTGGTTAAACAATGGATGGAAAAAGCCTGCACCATTACCTGCTACTCAGGGGAGAGGATGACCATGAAAGTTGCTGACACTGGGATGGAGAATGCAGACTCTGAGCCTCACTGGGACTGGCTTCCCTCACAAACAGCTTGTCATTCACTATACAAAGACTGGAGGAAAAATGCACATGTGGACAATTTATGGATGGACCACCTGCACCCCAATCCTGACTGCTAACACTAACACTCAGCAACCAGATCCCTTCCATACCCTCCTGTATCTGTACCCAGGCTCCTTGACTGGTTCCTCTGCCACTCGCAGAGAGCTCACCTTCAGAGAGATTTTCTACCAGCTTCACTCAATGAATAAGCTGATCCCCAACCCAGGGACAGTTTCACATTTACCCTGAACAGTAACCCAGTACAGGGTGTACAGTCTGATCCCCATTTTCAGAAGAAGACAGAGTCACAGACAGATCATGTGACTTGACCAAGGTCACACAGAGAGTGAGCATTGGGTCAAGGAGAGAACCCACGTGCTGATTCCAGAGCCCATGCTCTTCCTAACCACTAGGCTAGACTGGTCCTTGGATCTCCCTGCTGGCTTTCCACAATACTGAGTCAGCCTAAGATCTGCATCACCACATGCCCAGGGCCCTGAGCCCAGGCTGGATGGGCCATCCCACCCACAACATGGCTCTTACCTGGAAGAGCTGATGGGAGTAGTGATGAAGGTCCAGGTGAAGGCACGCACACAGCCCTGAGAACTTCCTTCCACTTCAACAACAAACAACAAACAATAAGCAAGAGTACCCCTTAGAGCCCCATGTGTTTACAGGCTCCCACATCATTCCCGAGTCAGGGTCTGACTTGACACTCATGCTGAGGGGACAGCTGTTCACTTGGGGAGCCTGAGTGTCAGGAATGGGGAGGGCAACTGTATGAGATGTCTGCTCCCAGTGAATGTCCCCATGACAACCACTTCACAAACTCATGGGATGCATTTTTCTCCATTGCCGAAGAGATGGATATTATGAGGAAACTGTGAGGTTAAGTAGTAGCCCAGGTTCTCAGTGTAAGGATCTGGTATGGCAGCCACCAAACTCCACAGCCTGTGTGCCTAATGCCCAGGGTGGGCAGGGCAGACATGGACGCAGTTAAGACCTGGGTTGTCTGTGGGAAGACTAAGGGCTGGCGGGGGGCGGGGAGGGGATGGGGGGAATCTGGAAGGAAGAGTTCTGGTGGGAGGGAGCCTGACCAAGTGAAAGAGCAGTGCAGCATCTGGGGGAAGCGGGCTACACATACTCACCTTCCTTGAGCACCCCACTGACAGAGAAGCAGAACATCGTTTCCTGATAGGAAAGAGACCAGGTACTCAGTCACCCCTCATCCTCTTTCCCACCTGCGCCTTCCTGCCCCTCACCACCAAGGGAGGAGCAGGTGCTCACCGTCTGGAAACACATGTCCACCATGAAGGAGCTGAAGTTATGCTGAGTTTTGGGCAACACACAGAGGGTGCACACAACGTCATGTTTTGTGTGTTTCAGCAGCTGGACATGCAGGTCTGTGGGGGAGGGGAAGAAAGGGAAGGTCAGGGCAGCCATGACCTGGACCCTATGATTGGCCCCCTCACTGCCCTTACCACCTAGCTTTCCCACCACACACTCACTGGGGTCCTTGAGCTTCTCTGTATTCTTGTTGTTCTTGAAGTACGGGCACATGCTGCTTCTAGGAGATACAGAGAAAACTTGGGTGGTGCATAGGTGTACAGCCAGCAAGAGGTGTCAGCAGGAGCTGGCCTGCATCTGCTGGGGAACCATATGGCTTTGGGGAAGGGTCTGGGCTGTGATACTCACAGGTCTGGGTCCTTAGGGTGGGATGGTATGATCAGGAAGAAGCAGGCCTCCTCGTGATAAAAATCCAGCAGTCCCTGGTGATCTCCATAGTCATGAATCAAGAAATAACTGAGGGAAGCAGTGAGGAGAGTCTCTCTCTGTGGTCTGAAGCTCAAGAAGACTTGAAAACTCCCATGATCAGACCTGAGCTTGGGTGGCCTCCCCTGTCCTGGCTCTCCCCTTGTTCAGATTCCTGCAGGAATTGCAGGATTTGACTGTTCACCTGATCAGATCCAAAGAAACTTCCCTGGAATTAAAACAGTCCTCAGGAGAAGGGCTGACATACCCTCTTGTACCACCTAGAACACTGCTGGATCCTCTGTGTTCACCTTGCACATTGGTAAGCACTTGGGTACTTCAATAGCACACTTAGATCCTGAGAGTGTCTCCTGGCCATCCTAGGGGAGGAAAGAGGAAGTCAGCGGTGCAGTCCAGGATGTGGTGCTGGATGATCAAGGAAAAGGATGGGCCCAGGATGAGGTGGGGGTCAGAGGTCAGGGAAGAAAGTGTCCCTGGAAATGCCAGAGGCAGGACTACATGTTCTGTCATCACCATGGGCCCCCGAAGCCTGTGGAGAACATGGCTGAAGATCCAGAGCCTTTTCAGGTTCCCTCAGAGAATGGTACACCCTCCTCCCCCAGGACATTTAAGGGTCAGGCTAAAAAATGGAACTTGGACAGGTCCTAATGGGTTTCCAAGTAGTTTGAGGGCACTGTCAGTGCTAGTTAGAGGAGTCTGATCAAGCAATGCACTTGCCAAGCTTAGTAACCTGGGGAACAACTCCAGGAGGGTGCTGCCAAAATCAAAACAAAAGAAAAATGTCAGTAAAACTATGGACGTGACCCTCCTCATAGTAGCAAGTCACTTACAGTAATCACAGCACCCTCAAACCCCAGTATCCTAGCGTTCAAGGGCCCTGGTCACCACGCTGTGGACTGACCAAGAGGGAAACTGTCCTCTCCACCCCTTCCTTGAACCCCCTCCTCCATGTCCTTTCCCCTGGGTAGCTCCCAGCCAGACTGTTCTGACTCCCTTCTGCAGTGCCACAGGGACCAGCACTTCAAATCCAGTCTGCAGGCCTTATTCCCCTCCATCCCTTCCTTCCTTCCTCCAGGGCCCAGTGAAGGCTGTAGAGAAAAGAAGATATGGGAAGATGGGAGCCTGGGGCTTTGCTACCTCACTTGGAGTCCAGCATGCTGTCAAGTCAAGACACACCTCAGGGATGAACAGGTGCTATGGCAGGGAGGTGATTGAGGTGGGGCTCAGGAGATAGGGGGGGGAATAAAGACAGAAAAGGAGTGGAGGGAGGAGGAGAGAGATGAGAGAGACAGGGGTGTAGACACAAGGCAGAGGAAGACCTCATGTTGGTTGACTTATCACGGAAGGTGGTGCACACAGCATTTCTGTCTGCACACATCCCTTCTGGTTCCAGCTGATGACCCTTGTCCATCTCCCCTGCAATCTTCACCTGGAATTATAGGGAACACCCACATGGACCAGATAGCTCTGCACCCACACCCTTCATTTCCCTACGAATCCACTTCCGTTCATCTGTCACCCCATGAGCCCTCACATGTTTCTTCAAAGGAGGATCTGGGTGCCCCACCTCACCTCAATGTCGGAGGGATTCAAGTTCTTGGTGGTGGAAGCAATCTCCATAATGGTGGACAGGCTATGCACCAAGTAGGGTTTCTTGTTGCTCAAGTACAAAGATGAAAGCTATGATGAGGAAAGATAGTGAGGACCCCAAAGGGAATACCTGAGACATATCTGCCTCTTCTACCCGATGTCTCCCAACATTGGGCCTAGGTTCTCACCATGGGCCTGATCCCTGGATGGATGTGCAGGGAAGCAGCCATGCTATTTCTATGGTTCCATGTCATTCTAATATCACACATCATCAAGTCTCCAGGAAACCAGAAGGAGGGAAACACAGGCTGAGAGGGTCCCAGCTGGAACACCTCCAGCACCAACCCCTCCCCATGATATCATCTCCGAGTGCTCTACCCAGACAGACCCTCTACCCTCACCTGCCCTACAATTACTACTGTAGCCATACCAGGACCAAAACGGAGTCTCTGGATGTCAAGAGATTGCTGGCAGGCATTGTATGGTTCGTTCATGGTGAGCTTCAGAGTTAGGTATGGGGTTCAGCAAGCTTGAGTCTGAGGGTGAGTGGGGGGAAGAGGTGGGTCTGGCTGTGAGGGCACAGCTTGTGTTGAGTCTGCATTACCTTTATCTGCTCCACCTTTTCAGATGTCAGTGCCTTCTGCACAGACTGGGGTGCGTCACAGGGCTCAACCAAGATAAGTATCTGTAGAGAACACAAGAGGGGCTGAGTAAGCTCCAGGAAATCTGTGCATGGGATCAAGCAAGACCATGTCCCTCCCCTGCCCTCTTGTTCCTATTCAGGCCTGATCATGCCCCTGACACACACCTTTTCATTAACCTCGAAAATCTTGCCATTGATATTCTTCAATGCACAGGCAATGTTGACATTCTCTACAAAGAACTGGGCCTGCATTTTCTCATAGTGAAACTGTAGGGAGAGTGACAGGAGAAACAGAATATGAGACCAGTGCCATTTCTCTGGGCCTGCCACTTACCCCATTTCGTCTCATCATCTCCATGTCCTGTCTTACTTCGACTGCAGTGAAGGGGACAGGGCACTTCTTCTGAATCAAATTCAGCAGCCACTTCTCATCATATTTTATACCAAAGGGAATCTAGGAATCAGAGAACAAATGGGAAAGAGAATGGATACAATGGAATCCAAGATTAAGGTAAGACCCAACTGTGTCTTGCTTTAGAGACATTTTTCAGGTTTTAAATAATTTCTTAAGATAAGACACTATCTGTTATCACTAACTTTGGTATGAGACAAGGATTTTCTATATATACTTTCTTTGCATTCAAATACTCTTCCTGAAAAAAACTGATTTAATATGTTTCACATGTACTTCCTTTTATAAAGTTCCAGGAGATCCACATGAGGTACACCTGCCCTATCACTCTGACACGGACCCCAGAGACTCAACCTCCTCCCACATCCAGCTCAAGCCAAACTACATGATCTGCTGTGAAGTGCTCCATCTCCATGGCAGTAGGTTTCCTCCTTTGCTTTTAGTCAACCTCTCCCATGCTCCTCCTTGCAGTCAGTTTCTTCCCTTCATACTGCTTCTCTGAACCTGCCCTTAGATGATCTAAGAAGATACCTCCTAGTAATAACAAGACAGATTACCAACTCCACTGCCCCAGAAAAATTCTCAGCATCTCTACACAAATCCAACACGACTCTGTCATCTTCTACATATTAGGTTCATTTGGCCAGGATACTCACAATAATCTTGAACCAGCTCCCCAAGGTCTCATCCTGACTATTTGTTTTCATTCTTCTCTCCGGAGGCTTTTGCTTGGTCTCCATGTTAACATGCATTTGGTCTCTTCTCTGAAAACTACTTCTCCAGTGATGGGATGGAATGGCATAGGGAGCACTGTGGGGAAGTGGAGAGAAAAAAAGTGGTCCATATAGGCTTGGAAAGTCTTCTCTACATTTTCCCAAATGATACCAGAGTTAAAATAAATATTGCTCAAACATTAACATAATCATTTTTCACTCTGGCAAGCTGGGGAGAAAAATGACATATTTAACTGCAAGGCTTTGTTGTTCAATTGTTGGTACATGTCAGCCATGGTGACTGGTCACTTACTGTCTTGCTTGGATGTCCATATGAGCATCACTTTCTTTTGAATCTCTGTCTTCCTGCTGCTGGGAAGTGACCTGTTCAGACCAATAGGTGTATTGCCTTCGGTAAATACTCCAGCTTCGTGCTCTTCTTTGTAAAGGGTTCACTTTATCAGTGTGCTCTAAAATTGACAACAATATATCAGTGGTCCCAGTATCAGAAGTAGTCCTGAGTAAATATCATGACTAATGAAGAAGCATCATTCTTTATAATCTAAACATAAATGTATCATAGAGCTAAAAAAAATGGCTGAAAGACTTCACCATGGCTCCACTTTTCGGGAAATGAGAGGTAGGGAGTAGTCACAGACAAGAAAACAGGCACCAAGGAAAGGGTCTGGATCTAGAGTGTAGTCTGTGATGTTAGATTCTGTTCTACTTGGTTCAAGTTAGGTGACCTGGAACAAGTGGCTTTTTATCCCCAAGTTTCACGTCTCTGCTCTGCTCTATGAGTACAATAAACCCTACCCTGACATCTACCCTGGTGTGATGGTTCAAGGGTCAAAGGTGATCTGCCTCCCTAAAGGAAGAATTAAAAAAATGAAAGGTAAGTCTTATGAAAAGATCCAAGATGGAATCTGGAGAGATATAATATGGAGAATACTCTCCCCCCAAAAAAGAGATAATTAAAGGTGATACAATGAGTATACCTAACACATGGTTAATGTGAGCCCCATAGAGAAGGAAAGTGAACAGTGGTTAAGTAGTATTTGAAGACAACTTGGTTGAGAAGTTTCCAAATGTATCAAGCTATCAACTTAGGATAACAATATTAATAGGAGGACTTCCTTTGTGGTTCAATGATTAAGAATCCACCTTCCAATGCAGGGGATACACATTCAATCCCTGATCTGGGAAGATTCCACATGCCTCAAGACAACTTAGCTCTTATGCCACAGAAATTGAACCTGTGTTTTAGAGCCTATGAGCCAAAACTACTGAAGCACATGTGCCCTAGAACCCGTGCTCTGCAACAAGAGTGCAACGAGAGAAACCACGGTAATGAGAATGCTGTGCATTGCAACTAGATAGTAGTCCCTGCTCATTGCAACTAGAGAAATCCCTCTCCCAGCAACAAGTCCCAGCACAGCCAAAAATAAATAAATAACTCTATTTTTATTTTTTCATTTTTATTTTTTCATTTATTTTTATTAGTTGGAGGCTAATTACTTTACAACATTGCAGTGGTTTTTCTCATACATTGAAATGAATTAGCCATGGATTTACATGTATTCCCCATCCCGGTCCCCCCTCCCACATCCCTCTGCACCCGGTCCCTCTGGGTCTTCCCATTTTATTTTTTATTTTTTATTTTTATTTATTTTTTTAAACAAATTTTATTTATTTTATTTTCGGCTGCATTGGGTCTTAGTTGCATCTATTTTTTTTCCATTTATTTTTATTAGTTGGAGGCTAATTACTTTACATCATTGCAGTGGTTTTTGTCATACATTGAAATGAATTAGCCATGGATTTACATGTATTCCCCATCCCGGTCCCCCCTCCCACCTCCCTCTCCACCCCATCCCTCTGGGTCTTCCCAGTGCACCAGGCCCGAGCACTTGTCTCATGCATCCAACCTGGGCTGGTGATCTGTATCACCCTAGATATTACATGTTTTGATGCTGTTCTCTTGAAACATCCCACCCTCGCCTTCTCCCACAGAGTCCACAAGTCTGTTCTATACATCTGTATCTCTTTTTCTGTTTTGCACATAGGGTTATCGTTACCATCTTTCTAAATTCCATATATATGTGTTAGTGTACTGTAATGGTCTTTATCTTTCTGGCTTACTTCGCTCTGTATAATGGGCTCCAGTTTCATCCATCTCATTAGAACTGATTCAAATGAATTCTTTTTAATGGCTGAGTAATATTCCGTGGTGTATATGTACCACAGCTTCCTCATCCATTCGTCTGCTGATGGGCATCTAGGTTGCTTCCATGTCCTGGCTATTATAAACAGTGCTGCGATGAACATTGGGGTGCAGGTGTCTCTTTCAGATCTGGTTTCCTCGGTGTGTATGCCCAGAAGTGGGATTGCTGGGTCGTATGGCAGTTCTATTTCCAGCTTTTTAAGGAATCTCCACACTGTTTTCCATAGTGGCTGTACTAATTTGCATTCCCACCAACAGTGTAAGAGGGTTCCCTTTTCTCCACACCCTCTCCAGCATTTATTCCTTGTAGACTTTTGGATAGCAGCCATCCTGACTGGCGTACAATGGTACCTCATTGTGGTTTTGATTTGCATTTCTCTGATAATGAGTGATGTTGAGCATCTTTTCATGTGTTTTTTTGTCATCTGTATGTCTTCCTTGGAGACATGTCTGTTTAGTTCTTTGGCCCATTTTTTGATTGGGTCATTTATTTCTCTGGAGTTGAGCTGGAGGAGTTGCTTCTATATTTTTGAGATTAATCCTTTGTCTGTTGCTTCATTTGCTATTATTTTCCCCCAATCTGAGGGCTGTATTTTCACCTTGCTTATAGTTTCCTTTGTTGTGCAAAAGCTTTTAAGTTTCATTAGGTCCCATTTGTTTATTTTTGCTTTTGCTTCTAAAATTCTGGGATGTGGGTCATAGAGGATCCTGCTGTGATTTATGTCGGAGAGTGTTTTGCCTATGTTCTCCTTTAGGAGTTTCATACTTTCTGGTATTACATTTAGATTTTTAATCCATTTTGAGTTTATTTTTGTGTATGGTGTTAGAAAGTGTTCTAGTTTCATTCTTTTACAGGTGGTTGACCAGTTTTCCCAGCACCACTTGTTAAAGAGGTTGTCTGTTTTCCATTGTATATCCTTGCCTCCTTTGTCGAAGATAAGGTGACCATAGGTTCGTGGATTTATCTCTGGGCTTTCTATTCTGTTCCATTGATCTATATTTCTGTCTTTGTGCCAGTACCATACTGTCTTGATGACTGTGGCTTTGTAGTAGAGTCTGAAGTCAGGCAGATTGATTCCTCCAGTTCCATTCTTCTTTCTCAGGATTACTTTGGCTATTCAAGGTTTTTTGTATTTCCATACAAATTGTGAAATTATTTGTTCTAGTTCTGTGAAAAATACCGTTGGTAGTTTGATAGGGATTGCATTGAATCTATAGATTGATTTGGGTAGTATAGACATTTTGACAATATTTATTCTTCCAATCCATGAACACGGTATATTTCTCCATCTGTTTGTGTCCTCTTTGATTTCTTTCATCAGTGTTTTATAGTTTTCTATGTATAGGTCTTTTGTTTCTTTAGGTACATATACTCATAAGTATTTTATTCTTTCTGTTGCAATGGTGAATGGTATCGTTTCCTTAATTTCTCTTTCTGTTTTCTCATTGTTAGTGTAGAGGAATGCAAGAGATTTCTGTGTGGTAATTTTATATCCTGCAACTTTACTTTATTCATTGATAAGCTCTAGTAATTTTCTTGTAGAGTCTTTAGGGTTTTCTATGTAGAGGATCATGTCATCTGCAAACAGAGAGAGTTTCACTTCTTCTTTTCCTATCTGGATTCCTTTTACTTCTTTTTCTGCCCTCATTGCTGTGGCCAACACTTCCAAAACTATGTTGAATAGTAGTGGTG